ACGCGGTGCGCACACACCTAATGGAATGGGTATGAGCAAGCACTCGAAGAAGAACAGGTGTTCTCGTGGCACTGTTGTAGCCGGCGTTGCAAGATATTTACGTGCCAGATGCACTAAAGATTCATATGTCCCTTCATGCTTCAACCACCATTCCAGGGGACATGCGTCCATGCTGATGAAGAGTTCTGCTTGATAACAATCCAAAGCAGTGCAGACTGACACATGTTCATTTTCATTATCTGAGTGAGATGCCACCAGCAGAAGATTGATTTTTTTGGTGGTTCGGGTTCTGTAGTTTCTGCATCAGGGTGTTGCTCTTTTAAGACTTCTGAAAGCATCTCCACACCCCGTCCTGATCAGATTTTGGAAGGCACTTCAGATTCTTAAACCTTGGGTCGAATGCTGTATCTTTAGAAATCTCACATTGGGTACCTTCTTTGCATTTTGTCAAATCTGCAGTGAAAGTGTTCTTAAAATGAACATGTGCTGGGTCATCATCCGAGCCTGCTATAACATGAAATACTGTATATGGCAGAATGTGGGTAAAACAAAGCAGGGGACATACAATTCTCCCCCAAGGAGTTCAGTCACAAATTTAATTAACACATTATTTTTTTAAACGAGCATCATCAGCATGGAAGGATGTTCTCTGGAATGGTGGCCAAAACATGAAGGGGCATATGAATGTTTAGCATATCTGGCATGTAAATACCTTGCAATGCTAGCTACAAAAGTGCCATGCAAATGCCTGTTCTCACTTTCTGGTGACATTGTAAATAAGAAGCGGGCAGCATTATCTCCTGTAAATATAAACAAACTTGTTTGCCTTAGCGATTGGCTGAACAAGAAGTAGGACTGAGTGGACTTGTAGGCTCTGAAGTTTTACAATGTTTTATTTGAGTGCAGTTATGTAACAAAAAAAATCTGCATTTGTAAGGTGCACTTTCACGACAAAGAGATTGCACTACAGTACTTGTATGAGGTGAACTGAAAAATACTATTTCTTTTGTTTATCATTTTTACAATGCAAATATTTGAAATAAAAAATACACTGATTGCAATTACAACACAGAATACAGTATATATGAAAATGTAGAAAAACATGCAAAATATTTAATATATTTCAATTGATATTCTATTGTTTAACAATGCTTTCAAACTGCGATTAATTTTTTAAATTGTGATTGATTTTTTGAGTTCATCGTGTGAGTTAACTGCGATTAATTGACAGCCCTAATATCTATATAAAAGGCTACAACCAGAGGCTTGCATATAGTGCTAAGTGTTAGACCTACAGTCTGAAGCAAGATGCCCTGATTTTGATAAACTATAGAAAAGGCTCTGAAATCTACTTTGTAAATTAGTTTCAGGCAAACTGTGTGATTAATTATTCTCATCGTCAAATAAATGGGCTAAACAAGATGAGAATAACAACATTTAAATGAATCATTTAAGTTTTACAAAAGAATTTTAAATTTCAACGTACAACCATCAGCTGTAAAATACTAGAGTCAGAGTATGTTATAAAACAAGAGGCAACTAATACAATCAGTTTCATTAACACAAAAAACAATCAACAAACCAACCTTTTAAAAACTGCTACAAGGGTTTTCAAAAGCAGCAAGCTAATGCAAAAATACCTTGATACTAGCATAAAACAAAAGTAGTTACTTATGCCAAATGGGTAAAGCAGTTAATTTTCAGGAGAGGGGAAAAAAGTGAGACCCTTGACTTAGAGGGCATCAGTTTGAATGAATTTATAAGTACAGTGCTCCTTTTAAGTAAGCAGCTAAAATACTTTTCCCACCCACCTCGACAAGAGGAAGCCACTGTTCCGCGGAAACACTGAGATGTTGAAATTGCTTATCATTTATATAATGAAGACTGCCAACAACTAAAGCAGATGCCCCAAATATTTCACTTGTACGACACAAACCTACAAATAAGCACAAGATTTAAAATATAAAGAATACTTTAAACAACAAAACTAAGGTATTAAAGCACATGAAAAAGAGAAGACAATCTGAAAACAAATAATCTCCAGCAATATAAACATTTATTTCTCTAGCCCTCTAGTTTTAGTCAACAGGGTTATTTCCAAGTGCTTTTCATGTATGTTCCAAATCATGACTCTCACAATGTCAGCAGAAAAAGGAAAATGCCTTCTATAACCTATCAGTAGGTTAGAAATAAATAACTAAAAAACAAACCAATCCCACCTTTACCACAATGTCCTATAAAGTATTCTGCAATATTTACTTCCAATGATGTTACAGTGCAGTGGGTCGGGATATATGTATGAGTTTTGGGTTACATACACACAAATGACACAAGGAGAAATCTCTGACCAGTAGAGTTAAGAACAATAAGGAGTTTTGTAACTATACTAGGAATAAACAGAATCTTCTCAATGGTATTGGTTCATTACTAGATGGAAATGGTAGAATTAATAATAATAATTGTAGAAAAGGCAGGTCTATGAGCGCTCCGAGTTCCAGTATGGGTTTCCAACCCTCTTTTTTCTTCAGTAACTGGAAGTAATGAGAGTAGAAGCCTCTGCCTCTTAGAGCTGTGGGCACTGGCTCTCTGGCTCCTACGCTAAGGTTTATCTCTTGACATAGCAGGCTCTTGTGAGAGGGTTCTGAAGAAGGAAGGGAAGGGTGTTTGCTAGGGGGAAGGGAGGTGAAATGGATGGAGTATCCATCACGGTTGATCTCCAGCATCCATTTGTCGGAGATTATCCGTTCCCAGGTGCTGCGGAATGGGGTGAGACGGTCTCTGAAGGAATGGGTGGGGTTTTCCAGCATGAGATAACAATAAGGAGAATGTTCTACGGGCACTTCGACCAATCGTTAAAATTGTTGCTTTGAGGTGGAGGGTTGAGAGGAAGTGGGTTGTGATCCTGACATCTTCAATCTGGGTAACCTGGGCTTCTTCATCTGGAGTTCATATGATCTCTGTGCTGAATATTGAGATGAATATTGTGATGAGTGGGGCTTGATTCGTGGCGGAGGACTATAATTTCTTTTGTACCCAGGTGTATAAATCCTGAGGGATGAAGAGTGGTCCTGGAATCTTTTAAATTGTGAAGGGAGGCGTTGGTCTTCTTGGCTAATAGCTTTGTCCCTTTAAAAGGAAGGTCCTCCACAGTCCATTGGACCTCCTTTGGGAAGCCAGACAGATGAAACCATGAGACCCATCTCATCACAATGGCAGTAGAGATCGAACATGCCATTGTGTCAGATGCATCAAGTGCAGACTCGAGAGATGTCTTAGCCACCAGTTGGCCTTCGTTGACTATGACTTTAAATTGCTCCTTATGGGAATTGTGGAGCTGCTCAATAAAAGAACTGAGTTTTGCATAGTTCTGATAGTCATATTTTGCCAATAAGACTTGATAGTTTGCAACACGGAACTGGAGGATGGCCGAGGAGTATGCTTTCCTGCCAAAAAGGTCCAGATGCTTTCAGTCCTGGTCTGAAAGGGGTGGATTTAAACTGGTGTTGGCAGCCCTTAGAATTAACAGCATCCACAATGATCAAATTGGGAGGTGGATGGGAGAAGAGAAACTCTGTCTCTTTTGCTGGCACGTAATATTTCTTGTCAGCGGGCTTGCATGTTGGTGGAACAGACGCGGGGGCCTGCCATATGACCTTGGTGGGGTCCAGTAGTGCCTCATTAATAGGGAGGGCCACTCCAGAGGAGGTGGAGGAATGTAAAATGTCCACCAGCTTGTAGTGCGACTCGCTCACCTCTTCCAGAGGTATTTGCAATGTTTCTGCCACCCTCTGTGCCAAGTCCTGGAACAGTTTAAAATCATCTGCCATAGATGGTTTGGCGGTGATGATGAGAAGTGTGCTTGAGGAGTAACTTTCTCCTCAACTTCAGCCTTCAGTTCCTCCCTTGCCTGTTCAGGAGCTTCAGAAGCCCTCCAGGCTGCAGCTCAATGGTGTTTCCTCGGTTGCTGGTAGGTCACACTAGAGCAGTAGTTCTCAAACTTTTGTACTGGTGACCCCTTTCACATAGCAAGCCACTGAGTGCGACCCCCCCTTATAAACTAAAAACACTTTTTTATACATTTAACAACATTATAAATGCTGGAGGCAAAGCAGGGTTTAGGGTGGAGGCTGACAGCTCACGACCCCCCATGTAATAACCTTGCGACCCTCTGAGGGGTCCCGACCCCCAGCTTGAGAACCACTGCACTAGAGGTAAGGGAGACCTGTTGTCTTTGAACCTGCTAAGGATTACAGTATGGCCACTGTGATGGGAAGGCGCTGGTGGTTGAGTTGGTGCACAGCTGACCAAACCAGGAAGGCTATGGACATGGGGGATGATATGCCTGAGGTCCACAGTGAAACTGGGTCCCATATGGCAGGTGAGAAGAGTGGTGGGAAACCATGTCCTCTTGCTCACTTTCTGACTGCAACAACGAAAAGGGTGATGCATGGTAAGCCAAGGGTGGTCAAAGGCTTTCGGTGAACTAGGTACTGGGTCCCCGGTAATGAGCAGAGGCGAGTCCGGTGCATCAGACACCAAAAGATCCGTTGCGCACTGGAAGTCTGGCGGTGCAGAGGTCCCCGCAGTGGTTGTCGGTGCCAAGAGGCTTGTATAGATGGGGTCAGAAATGTGGACCTGATTGCAAGGTCTGTTGGTGCCAGGCGTACCACAGGCGGTACTGATGTTGACATCTGTACTGACGGAGCCTTCCCCAGGTCGGATCTTCTATATTTTTCATGCCCTTGTGGTACCAGTGCTTTCTTGCCGGGGACCATTGGGTCACTGGATGGAACAACCTGACTTGCTCCATCGGTACAATATTATGCATGCCCTGGGTACCAGATTGACACAACTTTGGTGCTGTTGGTACTGGATCTGGGCTTCAGTTGCTGATACAAACCACAATTCTGTGGAATGTAGTTCTCTCCCGGGCAATGAACACACTGCAAGTGTCCATCAGTCACCAGGATAGATTCCTTGCAATTGAGGCACTTTTTGAAGCCTGGGATGCAGGGCATACCTTTGTCTAGGGGGGGTCGTCTCCCCACCCGCCCCCCACAGCCCCCCGACAAGGGGTTGGCAGAAGACAAAGTCCTTTTTTTTTTCTTTCTTTTTTTAAGGCGACGGCCAAAATAAAATCTAAACGAAGTAAAGAAAAAGGGCTTCAATGGAAGCTAAAAACTGGCAATTCTAAAAGAGTTAATGATCTGCGGATGGACAACTATAGCTCTGTCGTTAGCCAGGGGCGGTTGAGAAGGAACTGAGTAGGATTCCCCCGCGTATGATTTTTAAAAAAATTTAAATCAGATTTTTTTTAAATTTAAATTATTTTTCAAAAGAGAGATATTTATTTAAACAAATTACATTTGAAATTATGACAACCTATGTAAAGGCCAAAACTTAGTATAATCTACTAAAATCATCTAAATTAAATACAAAAAATAATATTCAAGTACTCCGTGTTTGCTGTCAAAATTTTAAAGAAAGTCAAACTCCTGAACTGGTGGTCGACTAAGGCTAAGCACCTGGAACTAAACTTTGTCGAAGTGCTAAATCAGTTTTCGATAGCAGTAGTTCCTTTTGCAGATGCAGAGTGAATATTTTCTTCATTTCAATTTATTCAACTAGTTCAGTTCAATGACTAGTTCATTCAAAGTTGAGAAATGGCCTGAGAATTGAAAAAGCAGGAAAGCTTATTTTCCTCTTCCAATCTATGAATAAAAACTAGATGTGAAAGGATGTGATTACGAGTTCTAAACTCCTGAACGACATGAAGGCCAGAAACCATCAGTTCAATTCACTAATTACAGATAATATTTACTTTGTTTAATAAATCAGTTGGTTTTAAAGGCAAAACATGTTTTGCTAAACATACTTTTATTTCTTATGTATCCAGCACATTTAGGATAGTTTTATCTAACTAATAAAAACAATTTGAAAACACTGTTTTAATAATTTTTTTAAATTTAATTCCAATTTCCAATCCAAATTCAGTTTAAACACAAATCACAAGTAAAAAATTAATCTAAACAATAAGAAATGTGTCATTTTTTCACCATTCTAACAACAACAAAAAGTAAAGATTAAGAATCTGAATAAATATATGTTGAGCTATATAACTGCTTAAATAATGACTATCCAGTGTATTTTCCTGGCTAGCAAAAACAAACAAACAAACAAAAACAACAACAAAAAAGGTACTCAATTATACCAACTAATAAGAACCAACCTTTCTTTAGGAAGATAAATAAAAAATACAAATGCAAATAAGCTTTAAATTGATTATTTAAATCAATATTTCCTGCTTACTGATTTAAATCATGAATAAAATCAGCTATTTAAATCACAAAAAGTCAATACACCCTGCTCAAATAAAGTATTAAAAATATGCATTGAACCTTACCTCCTAAATTGGTGGGTTTATCAATAAGTGAGGCCACTACAATCAACCTACTGTTGGATTTACCAAGTTTAGCTGCCCGGTCCTGAAATACCAGTTCCAGGTCTAAATCAGGACTACTGTTTTTCCAAGGGATGATCTTTTTCTGAACATCTGTCCATTCTGTTTGGTTATCCATTTCAACTAAATCTGAACCTAAGAAAAAAAGTGTTAGGTTTAATTATTTAGATGTGGAAAATACTGACATGATAATGAAACTGTTTGGGAACCCCTGTTTACTAGGACACCAAAGTTATACCTTTCTGAAACTATAAGGGTCACATACTGTCATCAATCTCTATACATTATGCTAATAGCACAGCATAACTATATGCTCTACTGCAGGTTTTTTAACAATTATGTTTAGCAGAGCAAGTACTGACCAAATATATTGCTACTACCAAACCCAAATAATTAATCTTAGATCAAAACATATATGAATTTATTTTTTACCCATATCTTGCTGAGACCAGTCACTTGGTTTTAGATTAAGAAGTTCAGTTCGAGACTGCAACCAATGAAATGCTGCAGGCAAAGAAATGTCGGTATATCTGGTAAATTTACAGAGTGGGATCCATTCATCTTCAACAAGTTCTGAAAGGCGTGGAAGGGTGTAAAATATTGTCTGCAATGTAACACAGAACTTTTAGGATAATCTCAGAAAAAAAACTTCAAAGAGATACTAAACTAACTTCAGCATTATTTTATATTACAAATATTTTATCTATCATAAGCTATAACTTACTGATCAATACTGAATACTCATCACCTGGTGCAATACAGTAACATATATTTAACATTATGGACATTTTCCAATTTTAAAGATAAAACCCATAAAATCCTACCAAAGCAACAATCTAAGAAAAGGTCTTTACAAATATTATGCTGGAAAATGCCTCAAATGTACAACTTTTCTAATGACAGGTTTCAGAGTAGCAGCCGTGTTAGTCTGTATCCGTAAAAAGAACAGGAGTACTTGTGGCACCTTAGAGACTAACAAATTTATTAGAGCATATTAGAGCAAATTTATTCGGATGCAGAAGTGGGCTGTAGTCCACGAAAGCTTATGCTCTAATAAATTTATTAGTCTCTAAGGTGCCACAAGTACTCCTGAACTTTTCTAATGTTAAAAATTGCTTGTTTAAGGGGCTAGCAGCAAAGGAACTCAGACACACACTGGAAGCTTATACCTCAGAACACAGAGTTCTGAAGGGCAATAATTTTTTAATCCCTATATTTCAACAAAATTAAAAAAAAAACAATAAAAGATGTTAACTCCTAAAAATAAACCATAACTAACCTAAATACAAAACATGGGGGTGGAAAGGGGAGGGGAAATCAGGAAAAAATAGAAAACCACAATTTGGAAATCCAGACCGTCTTTCAATTTCAATGGTTAGTTTTATTTAATCAGTGGAATGTTATGCCACCCTCATATGTTGGTACAGTCACTAAACTTCACAATAGTTTGGAACTAAAAAATGTGTAAGTCTGAAAAGAAAAACAATCCTTTTGTGAGGTTTCACCCATTCTTTATGAAAATATGCTTATAATATGAATATGACATAACTGAAATGTACTTTATACAAGATGGTGCTTGTAAGATATCATTGAAAAGGTTATAATTTATTGAATGTAATTATCCAATTTGTATGCCTGTATCATTTCTGTATCTGAAGTTAGAAATATTGACTATGTATCTGTATTTCAACTATGCTACTTTGGGTGACACCCACTGCTAACACTTCAGGTACAACAATGGAAATGCCAGACAGGGCTGATGACCCATCAGCCAGGACAATGGACTGTGAAAAGGTTCGGCCTTCCTGCAGACGCTCCATACTGCCACTGACTCATGGATGCTGTGATACTACAGAGTCAGGTGGTCTTGTCACCTGATACTAAACATTGCCTGGGACATCTTGTAACTTTCCACTGGAAGGGAAGGGGGGTCAAGTTTGGGAAACAAAGGATTCCCGCCTTATTAAATCTTATTTAAGGGCGGGGAGGAAGGCAAGCTGACACCTCCACTCCATGGCCTGTCTGCCCAAGAAGAAAGACTGCGAAAGCCACCTGAAGGGGGTGGGGTGGGGGGGAATGAGTCCAGATTGAGACGGGTCCAGTCTGAAAAGGAATATAACTGGAATTCTGAATCACAGAAACTTTGCAGCCTGCCTAAAATAACATTTAGGGTGAGAATTTACATTTTGTGACCTGTTTCTTAAGTATATTGAGCTTAGCTTGCATATTTTGCTTTATTTGGTCAGTAATCTGCTTTGTTCTGTCGGTTATCTCATATATTCACTTAAAATTCACCTTTTGTAGTTAATAAAGTTACTTCTTGTTTATAGTATAACCCAGTTTATGTAATTTCTAACGGGGGTGGGGGGGGCAAGAAGTTGTGCATAACTCCCTCCACATTGAGGGAGGGGGCGAATTTCATAAAACCTTTGGGTTTGTACCCCTTAAAGGGAGTGGGCACCAGGGTGTTGGGGCGAGCACCTAAGGCTGAATCTTTCCAGAGTGGACCTCTGCCTCTCTGTGCAGCTGGGCGTGGCGCTTCCTGTGTGCTTGACTGGAAAAGGCTTGTGAGCCTAGCCCAGCAAAGCCAGGTAAAGGGGATCCAGGCTGGCAGAACAGGCTGACTCAGTGGCACCCCAGCACATCAGGTGACACCCCAAAGGGCCCAAACCCGTCACACCTTTCTTCTGAGAAATTTGGGAAAATTTAGTCTACAGGAAAACTAAGGCGGTGATCTTAGGTGAATCTCCCTGAAAGAAATGAGCAGATACAATTTGGACTCTAAAGAAGCAAGAAATGTAATTCATTCAATGACTTCCTGTTACTGTTTTAGAGCAACAGATTAAATCACTCTAGCTAGGATTGCATAGAAATGTATTGGGCCATAACAAAAAATTATTAAGATATTTAGAAAACTAATTGATCACCAATAGCATGGATGGATTGACTATGTAAACTATTATTTTATTAACTGAGATGCTCAAGTATAGAAGACACTCCAAATTCATACTCTTATGTAATACATCTGAAAACAGGTAGTTTTCCCTCAATCAACAGCAAGCAAATTTCAAATTTCTGAGAGGATGTTCTGTTTTTGTCAAGATAGCTGTGCATTCTTCCTCATTCTTGCCTCTTTTCTGCTTTAGACACCCTACTCCTGTTTTTCATCTTCACCTTTATTTTGCCTTATTTTCTCTTCCCCTTTTGTTAATCACTCAGCTTTGAGTTATTCTGAGCCACAGTGATGAAGCTGAGCTGAAGGAGGAACTGATGAGTCTGACTTAAATGCATCTTTGTCTTTAACTGACAGAAAGTGAGTACTTTTAGCTAAGCCACTCCAAAAAGCAGTTTAACAGCACATCATAGAACAAGTGCAAGAGTGAGCGGGATAAAATTCTGAAGGTGGGTCATATAAAAAAAACGTTGTGGTGGCCCATGTGTGTCTTATTGGCTGCAACTGAGCTACTGCAAACAATTGATCGAGCAACAAATACAAATATGACTAGAAAGGAGTTCACTTGTCTGCTTCCTCCAGATTAACCAACAACAATTATAATACACTCCTACATTCTTGGGTTTTCTATGTCATTGATTTAGTTTTCTAGCCATGATGGCTATAAAAAAATAATTTAAAAAATAATTTGAGTCCAAATATATTTGTTTTAGTCTAAGTTGCACTAAAACGTTATGAAGTTATTTTTCATGAAATCCAAAAATCAGTTACAACTGATCATTACTCATCATGCAGTAGAACAATGTCCAAATTACAAATACAGCAGCAAAGCAGTGAAAAATCATTGACTATTATATACAGTATTTTGTACTTGCCTCTAGACTGTAATCCTTCAGGGGATGAAATGTTGCAAAAAAGAAATGATCCTGGATTCGTTGCCAATTCTTTCTAGCATTCCTATGCATTGCAAAAATACAGTAAGATATATGCCAAAATTCTACATGTTGACTTATTACAGTCTGACAGTAAAGAAGTCCAGTCTAAATGCATATATTATATATTGTGTTAATAGAAAAGAGACTATTTTAAATATATATTAACCACTCATATTTATGAGACTCATTTATGAATACAATGAACTGGAAATAAATTCACTTTGTGTTTCCAGGAACTGGGAAGGAACATATTTATATGAATTATGGTAACTAAGATAAGTATGTTTGATAGGGAAAGGTATCATACCTTCTCTTAGAGAAGGGGAACAAAAGTTCTCCCAGGAACTCAGAATAAGAGGACTTATGAATGGTGACAATAGAGATGAATGAAAAATTAAACAAACTAAACTGCTTAAGACCCCAAACCAGTAATAGGAGGAGTGTTCATGTCGATCTAATTACAAATAAATACACTGCAAAAATAGCAGATAATCAATTTCTCTATTATTTCAACCTTCTCTTTCTCTTGCCATGGTTAGTGAAATTACGAACACCTAAAACAGTGCAGGGAGTTGCATTCAACATTTTATTTCTTTGGGTTTCAGTGATACCACAAATATTTGCAGGAGGATCCTAATTTAAGAAAATAAGAACAGTTGTACTGGGTCAGCCCAAAGGTCCATCTAGCCCAGTAGCCTGTCTACCGACAGTGGCCAATGCCAGGTGCCCCAGAGGGAGTGAACCTAACAGGTAATGATCAAGTGATCTCTCTCCTGCCATCCATCTCCACCCTCTGACAAACAGAGGCTAGGGATACCATTCCTTACCCATCCTGGCTAATAGCCATTAATGGACTTAACCTCCATGAATTTATCCAGTTCTCTTTTAAACGCTGTTATAGTCCTAGCCTTCACAACCTCCTCAGGTAAGGAGTTCCACAAGTTGACTGTGCGCTGTGTGAAGAAGAACTTCCTTTTATTTGTTTTAAACCTGCTGCCCATTAATTTCATTTGGTGATCCCTAGTTCTTGTATTATGGGAATAAGTAAATAACTTTTCCTTATCTACTTTCTCCACATCACTCATGATTTTATATACCTCTATCATCTCCCCCCTTAGTCTCCTCTTTTCCAAGCTGAAAAGTCCTAGTCTCTTTAATCTCTCCTCATATGGGACGCGTTCTAAACCCCTAATCATTTTAGTTGCCCTTCTCTGAACCTTTTCTAGTGCCAGTATATCTTTTTTTTCCCCCCTCAAGTCTTGGCAGATAAAAAGACCCAAGTCTGCACACATTTGATTAGATGTGGAATAGAGAGATAAATGAACAGAAGCAGTATTAGTAACTGTAGTGAGCCGGTGTGGCACCCCTCCGTCTCCGATAGGGCTGAGCTTCCTCCAACCCCAGCGTGGGCGGAGCCACCGGGTCCGGGGCCCGCCCCTCCGAGGTCACGGCCCCGACCCGGAAGTATAAAAGCCAGCCAGCAGAGCTCAGTGAGGCCCAGACCCCAGAGAGAGCAGACGTCCCGGGCCGAGCTCCCGCTTGGGAGACAGCCGCAGGCCGCCTGCTACCCCCCCCCGAGCCTACCTCTCGCCAGCTACCCTGAGGAGGACTGGCCAAGCCTGCCCCGGACCAGCTACCCCGAGGAGGAGCCAAGCCTGCCCCGTGCCAGCTACCCTGGGGGAGAGCTGCCGGACTGGCCCCCAAGCCCTGCACCAGAGGAGCCGATGCTGCTGGACTGGCCCAAACCTGGCATCGCCAGCGAGGTAGGCCCCGAGGGGGAAAACCGAAGTAGCCCGGGGGTAGCCGACCCCGGTCAGGCTGCAGAGGCCGGTGAGCCAATGTCAGTGTGTTTCAGTCAGGATACCCCACTGACCAGCAGCGGCAGTAACCGCTGCTAGGGCCCCGGGCTGGAACTCAGTGGAGTGGGTGGGCCTGCGTTCCCCCCTGCCACCCCCGCTCACGGGTGGCAGGCTTCCTCCTCACCCGACGCTCAGGTGTAGAACCCTGGGCTTACCCCAACTGCTTGCCTGCTCAGCCCCTGCGCCAGAGGGCCTGAGCTGTGACTGTTTGTGTCCCGCTCTGACCTAGGGCCTGGGCTCCTTAACTGCTTGTCTGCTCAGCCCCTGCATCCAAGGGCCTGAGCTGGGACTGTTTGTGCCGCGCCCTGACCCAGGGCCCGGGCCTGCTTAAGCCGTTGATTAGCACCCAGCCCCTGCGTAAAGGGACCTGAGCTTTAACTGTCTGCGCTATAGTGAGCCGGTGTGGCACCCGTCCGTCTTGGAGGGTAGAGCCCCGGCGCGACCCTACTACAGTAACATGTCAACATGTTCGCTGTAGGTTTTGTGATGTGATCCTACACCCAGGAAGGAATTTGTAGTGCTCACTAAACATTACTCTTTGAACATGGATCTCCTATGTGAATGATCCTTTAAGCCAAATACAGGTGAACCTCGATTTTATGAACACCAATCTTATGAATGGCCATTTATACGAACCATTTTTCCTCCATAGAAAAAAACAAAAGGTCACATAATGAGAGAAATGTTGATGAAAAATAAGTCAACATCCACTCACATTCCAATGCCTTCAATGCACTGAAAATCACTTTGCAGTGGTTTGATCGACAAGAAGGCGGCTATGCAGTACACCATCCTGCAATTTATACACCATACGTACTGTAATTTTGAGATGTTCAATGTTAGGAACTTTTGAATTTTACAAACTCATCAATCTACAATTAATTCATAAAATAGGGGTTCTACTGTAACTCCACATGCAGGGGACACACAAGTACTGGCATTTCTTTATATATAGCCAAGAAATGCAAATCTTTTGGGAATCAATCTGTTAGATCAGGGGTCAGCAACGTTTGGCAAGCGGCTCGCCAGGGCAAGCACCCTGGCGGGCCGGGCCAGTTTATTTACCTGCTGATGCAGCAGTTTCGGCCGATCGTGGCCCTCACTCGCCCCGGTTCGCCGTCCCGGGCCAATGGGGGCGGTGGGAAGCCGCGGCCAGCACATCCCTCA